GAAATATACAGCTGAGGGGAGCAGCAGGCAGGTCAGGAGAGGTCTGTGGGTTCTGGCCTCCCTGGCCAAGGATCGAACTCATGCTGTAGTGGCTGTGGATGGCTTCATAGTGCTGCGCTTTAACCCACTGCATCACTAGGGAGGGCTCAGCCTTATATGATTCAGCTTCAGCCTGCCTGACTACACCCCTGACTTATTCCAGTTGCTCTAGCCTTTCTTATATTCCTCATCATATAAGCTGCTTTTGGCTTCATGGCCTTTATACTTGCTACTTTCTCTGTGTGGACTGACCTCCAGCTTCTCAATAGCTAACCCCTCCTTATTCTTTATACTTTCTCAGAATATAAATTCTGTCAGTGATTATGTTTCTCTTGTTCATCACCCCAGTAACTAACACTAAATCTGCCACATAAGCAGATGCTCAGGTAAATGCTTATTGAGTAAATATATGTTTGCTCGTGTCCTTTCTCTGCTTAGAACCCTTTAATGATTTCTTATCTCATACAGAATAAAATCTAAAATCCTTACAATATTCTGTAAGTTGCTGTAGCATCGGACCCATCCTCATCTAACTTCTGTTTCTTTGTTCATTTTCACTTTGCTCCAGTCAACTTAGAATTCAGCCTGCTTGCAAGGTTAAGCATTCTGCATGCTAACCAAATTCTGAATTTCATTTTTTTGTACCTTTATTTTCAAATTATCCTTCTTTATTATTTATTTTAAATTCTATTTCTTTTATGGTATGTCTGCCTGTTATCTTTTTTCCTTTAATGAGGCAGGATATCAATGACCAAATTTTTTTTTGACATTTAGCCCTTTTTTTTTATTACAAAAGTTTATTTTTACATCATTTTGTACATTTTTTTTTTCCATCTTAATTGTAATCCCCGCGGGTTTCCCATCACCAAGTCACCTGTGTGCCATCACCATAATCCCATGCACTTCCCTCCCCACCCCCCATTTTTGATCCCATTCCCTACTCCACCCCCGCAAAATGTCTCCGGTATATGGTTGTTCATTATTTTTCAAAAACCAAATTTTTTAAGTTGTGTTAAATGACAAACCTCAATTTTGCATCCAACTTTTCCACTTAGTTAATTAATACATTTTCTTTTTTTTTTTTTAAAGCTTTATGTATTTGTGCATACAGAACTGGGGTGCAAGCCAGAGGTGCAGGGCAATGAGAGGGTGAAAGACAGTGGGGAGCAGGGCAGGCAGAATGACAAAGTATACTGCTGAGGGGAGCAGCAGGCGGGTCAGGAAAGATCTGCCACGCCATGTGGATCACCTCCAGGGCTGGGGATGGAACTTGCACTGAAGTGGCTATAGCTCTCTTGCAGTGCTGCACTTTAACCCATTGTACCAGCAGGGAGGACCCTAACTCATTTTCATGCCTTATTTTAAAATCCTTGATACCTAGTGGTTAAATTCACAAGAGTAATTATACCCATATCCAGGAAATAATTTCTAGAATCATTAAAAACAGTGCTAGAAAGAATACAAAAAAGAAAGCAAAACAAACAGTGCTAGAGTGATCATCTTTCTATACAAAAGCTTTTTCATTTTTCAGATTGCTTACTTAGGTTAGAAACCTGCCCTCACATTTAGTATAATATCTGCTGGATACACTATCTACACATGTGAAATGTTACGTCTAAAGAGATAGACTGTGACTCTTGTACTTCCTTTGAGTAAGGGGAACAAATGGAATTTCTTCTCAATAACTTAAACCTAGGTCATCAAATGCATTCTTTTTTTTTTAAGCTTTATGTATTTATGCATACAGAACTGGAGTATAGGCCAGAGGTGCCAGAGTGGTGAGAGGATTCACCAGAGACAGAGTGGGGAGCAGATTGGCTGAGGGGAGCAGTAGGCAGGACAGGAGAGGCCTGCTGTGCCATGTGGGTTACTTCCCTGGCCAGGGATCAAACTCCTGCTGAAGTGGCTGCGATTAACTGTGTAGTGCTGTGCTTTAACCCGTTTCACCACCAGAGAGGACCCCAAGTACATTCTAATGACATTTTCCTTTTTTTTTCTGACTAGCTTCCACTGCAGTTCCAACAACTTGGACACCTCGTGGCTCTGATGGCACTCCTGTGTGGGGACCCATTGAAAGATGTGGCTGAGGAGGCTGCAGAGGGCACACACTACCTACTACATATCACCTTGAGGCTGAAGTGTAAGACTGTGCTGAAGGCAGTCAGGTCCTGAAAAAAATTTCTAGCACAATGCAAGCATAGCACAACTATTTGTACCTTCATTCCCCATTTCTAGAAATGTGATTACAATAATTCATAAGGAGAAAGCTCCATGGTCCATAGACAGAAGTGAAATAACACTAACAATATAATTAGTAACATAGCTGGATTGGCCCCGTCAGTGTCAGTCATAGCATAGCTGAGGAGCTAGAATGGCTGAAGATGTGGCCCTGTAAACAAACTGAATGATTGGCTTGCTCAGAAGTTGAAGAGATTCTTGTCATTATGTGGGCCTTCATTCACTTCTGTTTATCAAGAACTTCCTCAGCTTCCAGGGACCAGGATACAAAGTGACCCAGTCTTTTCATTATAGCCTAGTATGTATGGGTGTGTATATTGGAGGTAGGAGATAGTATTCAGAAAATCAACAGATAACAGTTATATAAACAACGATAACTGCTATGAAAGGACATTACAGGAGCCATTAGTAAGAGTCACATCTACCTAGGAGGTTCAGAAAAGATCTCTCTGAAGATAACCTGAAAAATAAAAATCAGTTGGCCAGGGGAGAGATAAAAGGAGCATATGAGGCAGAGGTAACAGCCCAAGCAAGGGCCCTGACAGGTGTGAGCTTGAGAAACTTAAAAAAACACAAAGTCCACATGGTCAAGGAATGAGTCCTTGAATCCCTCAGAAGAGACTTTAGAAGATATGTAACCCATCACCTCTATCTTCAACCCCCAGTGTTTGAATCTCAGTCTGCTCTGTCTACACCAAACAGTTCCTGTCAGCTTGCTTATTCCAGGGATAAGGATGCTTTCTGCTTCCCAAAGTAGCAGTGAACAATATCTACCAAGATATATAGGAAGCATAATTGATTACTTATTCATCAACTTTATAAAGTCCTCACTGTTCCAGACATGCAGTGATAAACAAGACAGACAGTCCCTTCCCCCAAAGTGTTTATTTCTTAGCTGGAAAGACAATATCCTCAACCGAGGGCTCAAACACTTCCCATAGATCTATTTCCAGTGAACATGAGTCACAATCAAACATGGGAAATTCAAGGCATTTTGAGTATTGGGAGTCTCGCTAACCAGCAAAACTGGCCACACACAAAGTTATCAGAACTATCACTACCAAATTATGAATTTTTTTGTGGGGCATTAAGGCTCAGAGGGAGACCCCTCAGAAGTCCTCACCAATGGGGAAATAACTTGACATGCCTTGGTTATACCCCCAAACCACTAGTAAACTCTGTTCTATCAAAAACCTGTTTTCTCTTTCTTTTAGCCCTTTTAACATATTACTCTAAAACAGAGGGAAAGAAATCTGAAATTGAGCCTCAGATTAACATATACTCCTTCCCCTAGACATTTTAATTTAAAAAATTTTTTACGGATTTATTTATGCATACAGAGCTGGGGTACAGGGGTGGTGAGAGGACTCACCAGGTACAGAGTCAGTAACAGAACAGGCAAATCAAGGAAGTACACTGATGGGGGGAGCAGCAGACAAAGCAGGAGAGGTCTGTGGGTCACCTTCCTGGCCAGGAATCCAACTCATGCTGAAAGCTATTGCGGCTAGCTTCATAGTGCTGCACTTTAAATTGTCGTACCAGGCAAGCTACCAACGCTCCCTCCCCACCCCACCCCAGGCACTTTTATTCAAGTGTAAAAGACAGGAGTAAGAGCTTGGGATTTATTTCAACCAAAAATGAACCAGGGGCCCTCCTGGTGGCGCAATAGGTTAGGACACAGCACTGCAAGCTGGCTGTAGCCACTTCAGTGTGAGTTTGATCCCTCCCCTTCCCCCCCAGGTGATCCACATGGTGTGGCACACCTCTCCTGACCCACCCGCTGCTCCCCTTAGGAGTGTACTTGATCAATCTGCCTATTCTGCTCCCCACTCTATCTCTGGTGAAGCCTCTCACTGCCCCTGAACCTGTGGCTTGTACCCCCAGTTCTGTGTGAATAAGTAAGTAAATCTTTAAAAAATGAATCAGACATGCAAAATCAAGAAGAAATAAGTGGAAAACTAATAGTACTTTGTATTTTCCTCTCAGGTATTACTCATGACAAGAAAAATCACCAAACCTTAAAAAGAGCAATGAAAAAATGTCGAGAACTTCTAGAACTCTATAATATCAAACAGTTCTACAGTTGCCCCATCAAGATTGCTCAGGTAATCAGAATAGTGAAGAGGATGGGAAGTGACAGAAGTCTCATACATGTGTTCACAGGAATGGAAAATGGAAAAGCTACTTTGGGAGAATTTCCCTTAATTTATTATAAAACCAAACATACAAGACTTCATTGTTTGCAATGATGGTGACTCAAACACATTGCCCTGTTCAGGTTCATTGGATTAGGCCATTCTGTCCAGGGGCCCCTATACCACTGTTTGGAAATCTCTTCTGTTGATTACTTTCCTAACTGTGGCTAACCTCTTATAAAGGTAAACCCTTTTTTCTTTTTTAAAGATTTATTTATTTATGCGTACAGAACTGGGGTATAGGCCAGAGATGTAGGGTTGGTGAGAGGATTCACCAGAGACAGAGTGGGGAGCAGAACAAGCAGATTGACAAAGTACACTGCTGAGGGGAACAGCGGGCAAGACAGGAGAGGTCTGC